CTCTGCGAGATATTACTATTATATGTGCAAGTATACCAGATCTGTACTATGATAAAATGTATTAGAAGCACTTCTCTACTAGAGACATCTTGTAACATACACTTCACAACTGCAATTCTGCTATAAATATAACATCTATAATCATACCGTTTTAAAAATAAATGAATCAAATATAAAAGCATCAGTAATGCCCTCACTATCTCCCAAGGCTTCACTGTTCTTGTAGTACAGCATTACCATTTTCCCAGACTTACCCTTATTTTCCTGTCCAGAAATGTAGTATAGGAAGATTCTGAGGCTCAGAGTTCTCCATGATCTCTGTACGTCTACTAGTATTAAAAGTTCTGGCAGTACTAAGAACCACTGAAAGTTTTCTAACATCTAAATATTCCAGCTACTACCAGAATCTACATGTACATTGGCACAGATGGCGTTTTGAAAATTCCCTTGCAGATCAGCTGTTGCATATGCTGATCTGTTGATCTACACATACTCAGTATACCCATTAATATCAAAAGAGTTGGACATACGCAGCATGACCAGAATGACTGAGAAAAATAACTGTGTTGAAGGCACAGTGGGTTTCTCAGATTCTTGGAACATCTGCCATATTGCATATGCACTGTTCTTGTTCCATCCAAGAAGATCCTAAAAAATATGATCCTAAAAACTAGGGGAATCCTAAAAAATGGTATACTGCAGCACCTTTGAAAAGCCAGTTCACAAAGTAAACTATCACTATGTACTATAAGCTATCAGTAAAAATCCAGTATTGCACTTTTCTCTGCCTATAATTTATCTGATAAGATAGATAGATACAGGTAAGTGCCTCTAACAGATACCAAATGGCATTCCATGCCTCAAAGAGACTCCCACCTGCAGATGCAAGTCAGTCAGGCCATTTAATGTCTGACAGACTCCATCAACTTCCCCAGAGCATATAAAGAAAGTCTAAATCCTAAGTGCATAGCTTTCTATCATCTATCCCCGAGTCCTGCTGCTGTTGCTCACTTCCCTGGAAGCAGAGCTACCCGTGTTTAGCTCTGCAGGGTGCTCAATCTCCTCCGTCCTTAGCCCACTCAGGCTTGGACTCAAAAGTCCCCAGCCTCATATGAAGGAGCTCAATCTTCCCTGAAATCTCATTCTCCAAACTTACTTTCTAATTAAACCCAGATGCTCCATCCCATTCCTACCACAGGTCAACAT